TTTTATTTTATTTGGGATTAAATTTTTTTTATTTCACAGCTCTTTTTTTAAATTATATATTTCACGTTTGGTTGGAAAGGCCTTTTCGAGCTCCACTTTTCTGGATTTTTAGCAGTTTTTCATCCTTTCTCCAGAACTGCTTCCGTCAATATGAAAACCTTCTTTAGATATTGGTACTGCTTTAAATTTTGTTCTAGTTACCATTTAATAAATTAATTATAGATAATTACCTCAAAACATGTCATTTTATTGGGTGCCTAGTAAATAAGATCAATTATTTAACAATCAGCCTTTATAAAATTTTAATTTCAAATCTTGGACAACTTTCATTTAATTATATTTAGAGTGGATTAAATAATTGGCAGAGTTTAATATTAATTTTATTTTTCATGAATGATTCATTTTAATTTGGAGTTTAATCAAACCTAATTTTTCTTTAATTATAATAAATAATTGTTAACCAGCGGGTTGATGTTTATTTGGAATCTTTAGAAATTCCCAAAGTAAATTTGGAGATTCTTAAACTGATATTCGACATGCTATTTTTACATCATCTAACTAATAGAACATCCTGGAATAAGTCGAATTGTAGCCGTTCGAAAAGGTTTTTCTTCAAACCTTTCAAATTAATTTAATTATTGATTTATTAGAGATCCTTAAAACCTAGTGGGGATTGCTTTGATCTCTTCTCACAATTTCCTCTGGGGAAGTGTTTTGTAGATTTGTAAAAACCGTTTTACAGCAATGTAAATCCTTTCTATTTCTAGCTGCTTCTATTTGAGATAAACCGCAATAACAGATTTCGCAATTTCCTTCAAACACGATTCTTTTTTTATTACAACACAATTATCGAAACTAGGGTCAGTCAGTATCGCTGTGTATCCTAAGAAATATTTTTCTTGTGTATTAAAATCTTATATACTATTTCCCAAATCATCAATTCACGCATCAAATCATGGAATTATCTAACTTTAAGATCTGTTTATAAATTATACAAAACCCGACGTGGATCTTTACGCTATCCAAAATGCTCAAACTCGCTTTTCTTCTGATGAGAAATTCTACTGGTTTGACCTCATGACCCAACCTCATGAAATATGCAAAAGTAAGCCTTTTTTTAAATGATTTATTCAATCATCCGGGAGACAATAAAATGGAATTATACAAAATCTGTACTGTCGCCGAAACGTTAGATAAACGAACATACCTTGCATATACAAATGCACATAAGCCGGAAAATGGACACGGTTAAAAATAAAGCTTTATTCAATAATAATTACTCTACCTGCTTGTAATTGTTTATTTGTATTTCTGTTAAGTTCTTAATTTTCAACCATTAGCACATTAAAGTTGACCACTGCCTCAAAACCTTTCCTTATCACAAGCCAACTAGCAGATCATAGGTTGATCGAACAGATTGTAAGCCTAACAACATAATTATCAAATTTTATTGCATTTAAAATATAAAAAAATAAAAAGACTGGTTTTGCCAAACGAGCTGACATGTAAACAAACCCTCAAATAGGTTCTAGGGTATTTCATCTCTGAAAAAATTAAAAAATTTACCTAAAGTCTATAAGCTGTTATCGTTTATAAATCCATTTTGGCAGTTGGTCGCGTTCAACGGCTGTCAGGGATATAAGCAGGATGAAGTAAGTCCATTCAAGGGTGTTAGAAATCATGTCTAAACAGGCTTCTTTACTAGATATTGAAATTACGTAGAATAACTTGCATGTAGTTAGCAAAAACAATGACGACCTTTAAATACAATAAATTTTTAAGTCAATTCTCAGCTAGTCAGTGGTAAAAGCTGCTACTAGCAAAAAAAACTATAGTAAAAAAGTAAAAAAAATATAGTACATAATACTTCAGCCGATCTAATAAATAAATGAAACTTGTGGTTTGCTCGTTTCTGAACAACATTCTGGTCTGTATACTCTCGCTGGTTTGGTCTTTCTGACATTTCTGACGCGTTTCGGTGGTTATCTGGGATTTAAGTAGGGAGAGGCACCGACACAGACTCAACACTAAAGTGGTTGAAAAGCCAAATCGCCTCTGACATACAAAAACAACAAAAATAGGCGAACCTGATCGATCGAAAGTGACCAAGCTACAGGTCCATCTCTGCGCAGACTAATGAAACATCTCACGATTTTTGGACGGGCTTCAATTCAATGTTTAGGTGGCCAGCATGTAGTCCCGCTTAAACCCTATCGAATGGGGAAAATTAACCAAGAAAAAACTTCATTAAATAAGCTACAACTGGTAAAGAATATCCACTTTTTGTGTTGTTTTTAGCGAAATCATCCTAATAAGGAATGATATTGCTAATTCATATAATTGAATCAAGTATTACTTATTTAAAAGTTTCAATCCCAAATAAATAATCAGTGCTTGACAAAATTATTTACGATCTGAAACCGTAGTAAGACATGTTATGGTATTTATATAAAACCAAAATTCTTAGTCAAGATCGCAAAAAAAGGTACAAAAAGTGTAAAGAGAGATAGTAGGAGAAGCCGGAGTGGGAGCACTTTCTCCTGCTATTAGAACCATTGCAACTTTGCTACAATTACTGGGAAGAAAGCGATGAATTCACTCACTGTTCTCACAACTGCAGAACTAACCTACTTTTCACCCCAAGCGTGTTTATAACGATAAGTCAAGTGGGATCTGTAATTATATGTAACGAGAAAATGTCTTTTTCCCCCGCCTAAAACGGGTCTGGGTAGATTAATTTAATCCTGCCGCCAAAAGACCATGTGAACATTTCCCTCGTTAATTTTTTGTTTAAAAAATAATTTCTAGAAAGAACTGGGATTAAGGTTTTTCAGTACTTATACACCACAGATTAAACAAATAAAGGTCAAATCATATACACATATCTTTATTTGTTAGATTCCCTGAACAGATTGAATCTCTTATCTGCATGATTTCAGCCTGGAACTTCTGATCATACAAGTGCACGTTAGACGTCGTAGGCTTTCCACCCGCACACATTAACACGACTTTAACAGAGCCGGTAATCCACAATCATCGCGGCAGTGGGAGGAGATATTCAGTGGGGGTAATCCCCAACTTGGTACACCGGTCCCCAACAACAATCTACTAATCCACTTGCTCCAGCGAGCGCGATGAGCAATTTATCTACTAGAAGAAACCAGCCAACACCACACACGAGGGACTCAAACGCGACACCTCAACAAGTCCTTCCCCAAACACCAGCAGAAGAAACGTGTTCAGATATTCAAGTGGAAATAGCACATAACGCATACAAAATAAACCTGTTCGCCGCAAAAGGACATACAAAAAAGCAACCAGGGACAATAACTGTCCCCAAAAAACAAAATGAAAAAGAACGACACCACCAACACCGAAACCACCCGAGGGCTACCACACTACAACCGACAGCAAGCTTAAATCAAACAAATGCTCAAACGCCCAGGCCTCCTCCAATTAACATTTTCAAAAATCCGAAATTTCGCAACATTCTGCAATTGCAGTAGTATTGCACATGATTAGTAAAGACACCTTTGCAGGGTGATGTAGGAATATCGAGTACTCCACCATCCCAACCGAATGAATGGCATATAAATAGAAGTGAATGTATTTAAGAATGAATGTGAGTATGAATGGGTGTGGAACTGCATGCGTTGGGTGCTGAATTGGCCTAGGTTCCCCTAGGCACCCCCGGAGCCCAACCACGGGGGCTGGACGTATAAGACTGAGGTCTTCACTGGGGATGGATGATTCTCTTGTCTACCAACAAATTACTGTACGTAGCAAAAACTGGAATTGCCAGTGGACTACGAGAAGCAACAGACTCAAGTCGGCACATGTTTGTACGTATGTACATACATGTGCGGATTTGAGCTTATATAAATCCAAATCCAAAGACATCTTCCACTGTCGGTCGAATAATATACTTCTGCAAACCCACGACAGTGTTAGTTATAGAAGAACTATAATTATCATATTCCTTCCGGACAAAAATACGATAACGCTGATATTAGTATAGAGTCGTAATACGGGATTACACTACACAATAACGCCCGACGAGATCAAAAATGAAATTGGAAAAACTAGGATTTCAAGAAGCAAGGGTCCTCTAAATCCAGAGTCCTATTTCTCGGACCCCTCTCCCGTTGTTCTTTACAGATCTACTTCAAAACAAAAACAATACTGATATATTCAAATTACAATACTTAATATACACGAATACTTAATATATATGATAACAATCGAGGAACCCAGACAGCGAAACCTCAATGCACAAAGTCCCAAGAATATGGCCACACGCAGACATATGCCATCACCCTCCTAAAAGTGTAAAGTTCTTCCTTCTTAAACGTATTCAAATCCTTAATCACACCACTCATATCCCTACTTATCACCCTAGTGGCCAAACTACTTCCTAAACTCTATCGATGATTCCCTCGCGGACTCACATCACTTCTCTGGAACTCAAGCGGTCTTCTAGACCACAAACTTAAACTCGAAACACTACTAAATGACAGAAACATCGACGTACCACTAGTAACGAAAACCCATCTGACAGAATCACATTTCTACATACAAGTATATACAACTTGCAAAACTTCCCACATAGGACAAAGTCAGCACAGCAATCCTTGTCAAAAACAATATTTCGTCACATTCACCTCTCAGAAAGCAACAACACCTACCAACTCACCTCAATCTCTATTGCCCAACTACGATTTCCCGTTATTGTCAGCGGTGTACTGACACTGTGTATCCCTCATCTATATACGCCACCCAATTTGAGTCTATATTTCGAACCTTAAAAATTAAATTACAGAAAAAATTATGTTTATTTATTTATTTTTTACAAAGTAATTCAGGAAGGTTGGTGGTGTACTATTTTACAAGATTTATCCATAACTAGAATTCTCATATCGTGACGTCATTGTTAGAGAAGATGAGACAGTATGAAATACGCGCGAAAGACCATTCACAACCTTACAAGTTGCAAGCCCGAGCTTGAATTTAAGCCTAAAGCCTGAGACTTTAGGACATTTGATCATTTCGTCATGATGGAAAGTCGTAAAATAATGAAGGCAAAGCGGTCGAAGGACAACATTTCCGAATTAGAAGAGAACAAAGTCTCTTCAGCCAAAGTGGGTTTCAACGCCCTTTACGAAATTTCCCAGTTGCTGAACTGCGGTCTGGACCGTCAATCCCTCGCCATCTGTTCCAGGCTCTGCCAAGACGGAGTTCAACCCGAAGCCCTGGCCAACATCATCATTATGATGAGAAACCAAGCGGAAGAGTACCGTTCGAAACAAGGTATTGGCTTAAAATAGATCGCTAATGCTTGGAGTCAAATTAGTCCAAATACATTCAAATCTTGGACAAGGAATAACTAAACTAAACATGGATGATCACAAAATCTCTAGGACTTGAGCCTGCGTTGCACTGTTAAACACAATACAATTAGGCACTTCATTTGTTAAATTAAACTTGTTTATTTGGGTTTGTTTTTGTTATTGATTTGAAACCTTTTCAACAGTTCTAAGTTCAGTCTTAGTTAAAACATTGACAGCGGTTGTCGGACCACGTATCGACATCCCCTCATTTCCTCGTGCAGGTATTGACAGTTTGTTGGCTTGGCTGTTGTGATTTTAAACCATTTAAAAGGCACCAGGGGAGATGCCTTGGCTTTTCCTCTCTCAAGGATAGGAATTTCTGCCTGCATAGGCCCGCTAACAGAGGTCGTGTGCCATTATTGCTTCTGCCTCCTGGCAATATCTGCACAGGCTTGTTTCATCTGCTCCAAATGAAAATAAGTATGCCTTCAGAGTCTGCAGTATTCAGTCAGCAGTCCTACTATCATTCTAGTCCTAGGTTTAGTAATTCTGCCATTGTTCAGGAATACATTCCCATTGTACTGAGGATCTATTCTTAATCCATTATCTGATGTACCTAGATTTTTGACAATTTGGTATGCCACAAAAATATTCATCTTGTGTAGTCTGTAGATCTTTATTTTATCTAATCTTTTAAAGTATAGTTGGCAATTTCATTGTTAAAAATTCATAAACTCTCAATTCAATGTACTTCCTTAATCAAATGTTTCATTTAATCCCATTACTAATCCCCTTACCAGTTATTGTTTAAATGTTGTTTACAATTTTTAACATGTCTTTTTTTTCAGATGGAAACAAAACCCAATCCAATGGGAACAAATAGAAGCAGATCCTTGCAATGTAAAATAATAAAAGATGTATAAAAAATTGTCCTGCTCCATACAAATATATGATAGGTGTTTGTAAATGTTTTAACGAATTAATACTATATGATATGTACATTGACCATTGTAAGCTTATGTTCTACCTTAATAAATTTCTATAACAAAATTAAATTTTGTATAAACGATTAGTGCCATAATGCTTTGTTTTATTGAAAATTTTGATTTTAACAAAATAGATTTTATCTAAAATAATTTAACTAATTAATATTTTTAGTTGAATAGAATTAATTATTAAATATTAATGTTTATTAAATTTACTCGATTCTCTACTACTGTTGTATAATCTTATAAATCTTCATTAAAGGACTCAATAAAATATTGTCAACATGTGTAAAAATATTCATCTCGTGTAGTCTGTAGATCTTTATTTTATCTAGTCTTTTAAAGTGTAGTTGGCAATTTCATTGTTAAAAATTCATAAACGCACACATATGTCTAAAGTGTAAATTGACATAAAAACAAATGCTCATTAAACAAATTGTTCAAGATGTGTTAAAATGGAAATTCAAATTGTAAAAAATTTAACAATGTATATAAATGTATAAATTGTATTGTTCATAAACCAGTTGCCATTTTGAAGAAATGCTGTATTTTTTTGTTTATTAATATTTGTATTATAATTGATATACCAAATATATGAGGTAGCGCTAAGTATTGTATTATGACCATTTAAATTCTTTTCTGATATCATAATTGCACCTTTTGAAAATGCTCAAAAACGATTCCGTTTAAACATTATGAAAAAAAATTATGTTAATAAAAACATGCACGATGTTAACCATAATCTAAACTTCTGCCCAAGGAGCTTAACTTTGTGGTAAATCAATTTATTAACATACCAGTAATATACAATTAATAATCGACTTTTTTTTTCTCAAATGAGGCTTTTTCCTTTCAAATAAGGATTTGAAGCCAGCAGATATATTTGCTAAAATTGGAGCCTCAGAACCACTTATGTCAAAATCCATTAAATCCATCCTGTAGCCACATTAAAAAAGAAGTGGAGTCTTGGCTAACTAAAGAACACAACAAACACTGCAAAAAAAATCTAATGGCAGTAAGAGGAAATCCTACTCAACTTTTTTAATTTTATGGGTTTTATCATACATATTTACATTTCACTATGTCTTGAAGGGAGTTAGCAACCACTGTTGTTCTCTCAATTTTACACAAGGGCTAGTCCTTAGCGAGGAGGTCCCAGGGCCATCTTCGTTTTAGTGATCCAACAGGATTATAGGGATGGATTGGGCTGGTGAGTAGAGAACGGAACTTACAAAATTTGGTGGATATTAATTTATTTACAATGAGTATTTTGATGTCATTGTGGAAGGTGGTATTGGAGAAATAGCAGAGAGCATTGACTATGATTCTGAGGACTGGATTGGAAGAATTGGATTCTAGTAGCTTTAGTGGTGCCTGACAGTTACAGTGCATATGTGGAAGTAGTGTTTTGAAGAGTCTTAGTTTGTTTTTTTATGACATGTTAAAGAATGAAGTGCCTGTTCAGCAAGGCAGGTAGAGGGTGTAGTTGGAATGTCAGATGTAAAGGAGGTTCAGGATTGTTCTGAAAACAGTAGTCTGGCCACTGGCAATTTGGAAGAATCGTTACCTATTTAACAGAAAGAAAATAAAAACTAACTTTTATATTGATAGGATAAGCTGTAGTAAAACACACCTTAAAAAAATGGACTATCAACAGAAGACCAATGGAAATTATGTCTGGAAGAGACACAAATGTTAAACATTCCTATACAACAGCCGTGCAATAGCTAGGAAAAGGCTACAATTCCTAGGAATACTGTTCTTGAACAATACAGATCTTGATACCACTGAGAATAATTTTCTACCTTTTAAAATAAAGCCTGTTTCCTTCCATATCTTCAAGTACTAGAACCCTTTTTAAGGTAATCTATTATTTTCCTAGAGCAATTTAGGCGCTCCCAGACAAGTTTGGAGTTGAAAGCATACACATTTAGTGCCTGACTGAGGGTATGTTAATCTGTTCACCTTTCATATATTTCTTTATTAACTACTGTGCAAGGAGTTGTATTTCATAGACCTCAGTTTGGAAAATTGTTGGGATTAGTACAAAGGGCTTTACTATATATAGGGTATAGTACAGCCCTTTTACCCCTATACCAACTCCCTGTTCCATCTTTGATCCATCTGTGCAGCATATTAGGGCCCGTTACGTGAGATGCCTTTCTTCCATAGGTCTCTACTGTCTGGCATTTGCAAGGAAGGCTCTGTCAAAGTTCGGTCTTTATTTCATTATGTCAGGTAGCATTATACATCTCATTCGTTTTGGTAGCTCCTATCTGGTTATACCTGGCTTTATTTACTTTATCTCTGGAATCAGATGGCCCTCTTAAAAGCCAGCTTTTGAACATAAATATGTAAGGGTGAGTGCAGTTTTCTTTGTTTTAATGGTGTAGTATGCATTGCCCCTGTTATAGACATGCTAGTCTTTGTAACGCCATAGTTTGTTCTGTCTCTCAGTGATTTTACCACCATACTACAGCTATATATGTGACCAGGGGGTCTGACCATTGTGGTGTATAACCAATACACCATCCTGGGTTCATTCCCCAAATTTTCCTGCATTATATGTGGCCAATGCTTAGTATATTGGCTTTGTGAAGAAGTTGTCTATATGAAGTGATCCTTTGGTTATACATGGAAAATATGTTTCTTTGGAGAACGTTAAGACTTCACCTTTTACAGTGGGTGTTTATAGATTGAGTTTCAAATGTTACAGGTTCTTTAACAATTGTTAACAAAGGTACTTAACTTTATCGTACGATAAAGAAAATGTTTTTCTAAAACCTACACACACCAGACTGCATCTCACAATCTCCAAATAATCGTTGTTAACAATATGAAACAGTGACTCTAACCATTGTTATTTTTAATTGTTTTTATTTTACTGTCTGTGATATTATATAAAACGAGTCTAGTCATTTCATAGTTGAAAAGGTGAAGAAAAAAGTGAAAAAAATTTCAGTGTTAATATCAAAATAAAAGAATTTAAGTTTATATACTTCTGACTAAAAGTCAAGCCCTGAAGAAGGTACAATAAAGTTTCGAAAGATAGGTACAGATTTAAAATAAAAAATCTTTTATTTGACCACATCCCTGATAACAACCAAGAGAACATTATCTGCATAAGTTGGTTGATAAATCTACAAAACAATATCAAACAAGGCACAAAGGTAAAATTAAATTTGGCAGCAAAATAGTTTATAACTGTAACCTTGTAGCATTTTCCGAGGGCCATTTGGCTTTCCCAGACTAGTTTGGATCTAAAAGTACATACATTTTTTGTCCTCATTGCCTAAGTATGTAGATCCATGCACCTATCATTTTCTTCATCGCTTCCTACTAGCTTTTATTATATACTTTTTTAAATTAGATTTCTTATGGTATAAAATGGCCCAAATATATTGTAGCAACATAGATTCCTTCATCCTCCATTTTGTAGCAAGGACAAGATATCGCAATGTAAAGTTTGTGCTAGAACGTTTAAGACAAAATAATGAGAATAAAATTATATGTACCTTTTTCCTAATAGTTTGCATATTTGTTTGAATACGTATAAACCACCACTATTACACATATAACTGCTAAACAAGCCAAAATACTACATACTTTATTACGTCCATACTTGTTACCGATGTATGGAGGGAAATATGACGTTAACGTATCGATTCTAAGCGAGAAGGTTATAAAGTTCAAGTTATACACCTGTTCACGTGTTTTTCGATTTCTATACTACCATCCTCAGAGAAATAAACCATAAAAACAGGACCGATTTCGAACATAATTATCAAGTAAGATTATTAAAAATGTAATATTTTCAATCTATAAAAATTAATTTAGTTAAAATGAAGAAGTTACAATGACAAGTTTTGTTAGTAAACTTTTGCAATTTGCATGTAATGTGATTAGAAGTACTGTCGAAAAATTGATTTTTTAACAACTATTAGCAGTTGAAATGACTATTTTTCATAGTTAGTCTCTGCTTCATAAAATAATCTTTATTGAACGCATCCTTCTTTGCTTTTAAACTTACTGTTGTTGTTTTTTTCTATGATACTAATTGGTTTTATCTATTATTGGTTAAAATGCAGGCGTCTAGTGAAGTTAGCATACCCAAAACATTCAAAATATAGAAATATTATGATCAGGAAACTATGAACAAATCTTTAACTTCTCTTGTATGGCTTACCTAATAAAACTTGGAAATATATAACCTATTTATAACCTTCTTTAGACTATGAATTAATTTATATTATTTATTCATTTTTAAGGACAATGTCGGAAGACAGTGAAAATGATACTATCAGCAGCAGTGAAACGGAAGACGAAGACATTCCAGATGATATACTCGATAAGGACTTCTTCAAGACACTGAGCCATTTGAAAAACAAAGATCCTGTCATTTATGATGAAAACGTACATTTTTTTAGCGAAAAAGAATCGCAGAATGAACCTTCGATTAACAAAAAGAATGAGCATCTCTATTTGAGGGATTACGAAAGGGAAATGCTATTGGGAGGAATATCTGAGGACAATGACAAAACAAATGAGAAAGGATTGACATATGTTGAAGAGCAAAAACAATTGAAAACAGCATTTAAATCATTGATTGACAACGATAGCGATGATGAAGGTTTGCTTCAGAAGAAGGAAAAAACGGAAAAGGAGAAAATCAAGGAGGAAGAAGAGTACGTAGTTTGGCTTAAAGGAAGAAAAGACGACATAGCGAATAAAAGCGAGGAAGGTGTATTGAAACCTTTAAGAGATTACTGGAATAACCCAGAATTAGACAAAGGCGAGGAATTTCTGAAAGATTATATTCTCAATCAGAGATGGAGGGAAAAAGAAGATGTGGTCGAAGACTGCGATCTTTCTGAAGATGGTGACCTTTTAGAAGCTCAAGAGAATTTCGAAAGAGAATATAACTTTAAAGACGACAATGGGGCTAATATAGAGCTCAAAAGGTTTCCTAGGAAAGTTGAAGGTTCGTTGAGAAAAAAGGATGATTCGAGAAAGAGGAAGAGAGCCGAGATTACACAAAGAAAAAAGGAAGAGAAGAAAAAGAAGAAGTTAGATATTCAAAAAGCGCAAAAGGAAAAACTCAACGACATTAAGTCACGGTTAGAACAGCTCAAGGCCATGACTGGAAATGAGACTCTCGGTGTCGACGATAGTGAAGTAATAGGAGATTTCGATCCAGATAAACATGATAACATGATGAACCAGCTTTACGGTGATGAGTTTTACTCAAAAGAAGATTTAGAAAAGCCAGAGTTTAATATGGATGATATGGATTGTGATATAGATGAATATGAAAATGTCACAAGAAGTAAAAAGAAAAAAGATAGAAAGAGGAAAAACAAAAAGGCCAAAGTCAAAGATATAACAGATGTTATTAAACCCGAGGATGAAAACTTTCAAGAGATGGCTAATGAATTTTACTCACTCGATTGTGAGGATTTTATCGATGACATACCTTGCCGCTTTAAATACCGAGAAGTGGTGCCAAACGACTACGGGCTTACAGTCGAAGAGATACTGGCAGCGGATGAAGCTGAATTAAACAAATGGGTGCCTGTTTCAAAACTGTACAAAATCAGACCAGCACATGTAGAAAAGAATGAGATAAAAACTTACAGAAAGAAAGCCTCAGATTTAAAATTGAAATCGAAATTGCTTCCAAGTCTGTTTAAGACTGAAGAAGAGATAGAAATAGAGAAACCTGAAAGTCATGATAGATCAAATTTGATAAATGAAGATGACAAACTGGAGACAAATGAAAATAACTTGGTAAAGAAAAAAAAGGAACAGAAAACGAGTTTAAACACTGAATCACAAGGGGTTTCCAACCAATTGAATTTATCATCACCAACGGATAAAAGTGATTTTATAGAAAATGAAAGTAAAGATGGACACCAAATTGACAAAACTCATTCAAAAATGAATAATGATAAAGTCAATAGAAAAAAGAAAACGGGATTAAATATCGAATCCCAATCACCTTCCAGCCAATCGAAAAATATCTCACCAATGGAGACAAGCGATTGTACAGAAAATGATCATAAAGACAACCCAACTGACAGAAATAATTCTGAAATGACTAACAGCATTAAATCAAGCAAAAAGAAGAGAAAGCGAAAGAAGAAAATGATGGAAGATAATCAGAATGGTCCACATCGTAGCGGTACAGAAATTCACAAGAAAGATTCAATATTTGTCAAAAAGAATGGTACAAAATTCCAGAATAAGAAAACAAAGAAAGATCCTGCTAGCAACATCAGCGACAACCGACTTTTGGCATATGATATCAAACCAAAACGCTTTCGTTCAAAATTTCAATTTAGTACATAAGTCTTTTTGGTTTTAAGAGGATTGTATCTAAATTATTATATATACACAGTATATAAACAAAACTGTAAATAGAAATTGTAAATAAATTAATTTTTAACATTGTGTCTTTGTTACTACTACTAAAGCTACAATATTTTTTTTAATTTAATTTTTTTTAATGAGGTGAAGTAACCTAACTGATTGAATGTTACATCTTCCATCCTCATGTGTTGAACACCTGAGGCCCTGAGCTTTCAAGATATCGCATCGAACATGAATTGCTCACCGAGGTCGACATTGAGATCAATGGATTCCGTCATTTCGATTTCTGCATTAATCACTAATTCTCTCTGTTCCAAAATATTACACAAAATTGTTACCTATGTGGAACCAGAATTATGAAGATCAAGCTATAGAAGCAATTTTATCTACACATATAATAAATGGGGTCTTTTTAGGGCCACTTTTATTTGTATGCATATCTTATGATTCTTATAAAGTTATAAATAATGGCTTAGCCTATGTTAAATCAGGGGATTCCCTCCTGAGGGGTGATAAACCTTTAATATTGTCATTATTGATCGGTCTAAACTCTTTTCATCTACAAGATTGTTTTGGCAGTTTGCCATGATCAGAGTCTATAAGCAGGGTGAGGGGGTCTCTGAAACCCATCACTGAAGATGGCGAAATGCCGAAACACTTCTGACAGACCAACTCAGCAAAAATAAGCAGGTTGAAATTGATCAGTAACAACCAAATTGCATATCTTATAGCATACTTTAAAACATGCTACGGGGAAAAATGCTTCATACAACTTTTTTGTCAGACTAAATATATATCGATACGTTGCCTCAACAAAGGATCAACTAACATGAAATAACTGGTAAAAATGATGAAACTGGGGTGAGTATGTAGATTCACTTTTTGTAAAAGAATGTTGTACTCACAAATCTGTTGTTTTCAATGATCCGGATTTCAAGCTTAAAGCTCATCATCAGGATGAAAAGAGTTACGAGACGTCTCGGCACAAATTTAAGACTGAACCCGCCGATCCACGATAACGCGACTTTCCAATGGGCCAACGGTTAAGCGGTTTTTTGGCGCTCATTTTCTACGTGCGAAAAGCGGGATTATAACACAACTAAATATTGTCCTAATAAATAATGCAAGAAAATAATTTTAAATAAGTGATTAATTTCTACTTCAAATATTATTTTAAGTACATGTTTAAAATAGGAGGTAATTCAAAATCTATTATTTATGCGTTTTTCTCCATTTTTTAATTTCAAATTTTTCCAATTAATCTAGTACCGCCATTCGTTGACAATGTATAACACTGTTGTATTTAAATTTAAATTGTGTTTTGTTTCATTTAGATGGTCCTTAAATTCAAAAAATCTGTTCGATTTAGGCAAGTGTTCTTTGTAACTAAATTTTTAATTTATCTGCCGTTCTGAGCTATATGTTTAATATCGCAATCGTTAAAATTAAGTTGGTAAACCCCGCTTTTTGGCAAGTTGTCGACCTTGTCTTTAGGTTTTTTTTAACGAGTGGATTTCAACTACGAGTTTATGTATATTCTCGAGTGCCGGTGTCTAAAAAAATCCCAATTGTAACTATATCGGGTTCAGGGCCGCGGGATTCGAACCTGGGACCTTTATCTTACAGTATGAGCGCCGGGTCAACGTAAACCGCTACGACCACCGACGCCAAAAGGTTCGCTCTTACAATTCATGAGAGACGTGCTTTAAGCTTGAAATCCATCATTGAAACAACAAATTTGTGAGTAAAACAATCTTTTACAAAAGCGAAATAATTCATATCTCTCCCAGGCCTATTTAATATATGGTCAGAACATGTGGGTTTTTTTTTATTTTTTTATATTAAAACTGGTCTTATTAAACCAACCATTAATTTTACAATGATACATACAGAATAAATAAATGTTTATATTCTTATAAACCCATTAGTATAATAACATTTACAGTTCACTATTCATAAAACTGTTAACTACATTAGTTCATACGGCTTTATTCTATTTAAACTTCTGACGGTGTTTCGAAGAGGAAATTTGAGTTTGTAATTAGTTTTATTCATTGTACAGTCAGAATAAACAGACCACAATGACCTGGTAAAATTTGATATCATAGGTATGAATTTTATTGAAGACAAAAATTAATAAGGAACTAGGTAGATTACAGAGCTAAGAACATTTAAAACTTTAGTTTATGAAGACGGGATACTGGGCAGTTCAGTTCAGTTAACTCAACCAGAACCTTCTTTCAAAAAGTAGTAGGTCATTGAGCGACATTGCTGATTGCTGCAATTCTTTTACCAAGGTCTTCTTGCTACCCTTCAGTTCAGCGGTTGCTTTGCATTAGGAGATGATGTGGGAGGCAATTTTCTCATTACATAAGGTACTAATAGGGTCATTATTGGATATACCCCTGTTGTGTAGGTGTTGTCTCAGGTGCCAGTGGCCTCCTCCACTGAGTTTTAGTTCATCATAACTGTTTTTTCGAACCCCAAAAGAAATAAATGGTCTTGGGACATTCTGAATATTGTCAAACGTTTTTCTAGGTACTTCAGTCAAAAACCTTTCTTTAAAAGTTCAGTCCAAGGTTTTTGTTTTCGTTTTCTCCTGCGTGTTAATATTCTTTTGGAAAACTGTACATCACAGGGCTAAAAAAGTGGCCATCTTCTAAAGGCGAATTGTACAAGTTCTATTTCTGAACCCGGAACAGTCGACGTTATTTTTATTTTTCCACTTTCCATTTCCAAATCAAAATTGTGATAAAATCGCATGGATGGTCCAAACATGTTTTCAACGTCGATTTTCTTGGGAAGGGGATGTTTTATATAAAATCGTTGCGTTGCTAACTCCAATTTAGTATATTTCGACGTATCGAATATGACAACTAAGGTAAGAATTATAAATTATTTAAAATCTAGTAAAAGTTTCTCAATTTAAAGTGTTAAAACAAGGCCAAATACGTCGGACTCCATTCAATAAAAAATGCCTAAGAGCTTTTTACTCGTTGCCAACAAAAATGCTTTGCTTTAAACCTTTAAAACACTAAAATGATATTTGTCAACAACAACAACAACATCAAAAAATGTAAATGAGAATTTTTAACAACAAAAAGACACTTCCATTGTCGCCAATTAAGTATTTATTATATTCACGTATTAAATCTATCAATCAAAATCAAATTATCTTTAATCCAAATTCAGGTTATTTAGAGCAAAAATTCATAATTTTGAAGGAGGATGTTTTACAAATTTTATATAGACCAGAAACTGGATGGATGGATGGACATAATGGATTAACGCGGACGAAAAGTACAATTTTTATCAAATTCTTTTTGAGATCTGCAGGATGATCAGTATGTAATTTAGTCATTTCTTAACGGTTTTCGCCTACCTATCCTTGCTAGGTTAATTGGTAGACTCTGACGCAAATCCACGCCACTGAAGAAGCCGGAATGCAAGAACGTGTCAGGTAGACCAAATCAGCAAGGATGGGAAGGCGGGATGACCGAAAACGACCAACCTACTGGGTTTATAGCCATATTCGATAGTTGTCAGGAGTGTAAGGAGGGTATGGCGCTGACATAAATCATACATGGAAGATGGCGAAACGCCAGAATCTATCGGCAGTCCGAATCAGCAAGATAATCGAAAAGGACCAGACTACTGGTTCGTCACACTACAACCATATGTAATAAGCAGGGTGATGTGCTGACACAAATCGACCACTGAAGATGGCGAAGCGCAAGAACGTGTCAGGAAGATCAAACCAGCAGGATCTTCGAATAGGACCAAAGACTGGATCGTCTCACTACAGCTACATTCAGTAGTTGTCAGAAGTATAAGCAGGGTTAAGCACCGATGCAAATCCACCACTGAAGTTGCCAAAATATATGAAAATGTTGGACAGACCAATCAGCAAGGAAAGGCAGACCAGGATGAGCGAAACGTGCTTTGCTAGTTTTTTAGTCGCGGCATACATCTAATATTGGGAAAAACTATATTGTGATCCGAATAGTAAATTTATTTGTTAAGAGATTTAAGTTTTTTGATCACTGAACACCAACTCGTGAGGAATGGGATACTCAAGGTGTGCGAATAACATGAGCGGGTTTTAATGACTTTCATTGGCAGTTCGTCATTATAAGAAATGAAAAAACAAATAGGTCATCAAATTTTACTTTTCTCATAATTCTTCTGATTTTTTGTTTAATTAAAATTAAAAACTTTTGTTTCAGCTACTTATAATTGCGTGTGCGATTTTTGGCACCTGCAGATGTGGTGTGTCGACACGTTACGGAGTACCTGTGAACCAGGCCGTCAGTTTCAGCCCACCTTCGACCCCGGTCCTCGCACCCGCCCCCGAACCTGTGGCCGAGTACACCCCGTCGGTTTTCGTACCACCACCTCCACCTCCACCCCCGGAACCGACGGTCGTCTTCGCTCCGCCGACCCCGGTGTCCATCTTTGCACCCCCTGGTCAAGTTTACGTCCCTCCTGCTCCAGTCTTCGCCCCGCCACCACTCGAGGTGTATGCTCCACCAGTAGACGCACCACCCCCGGTGCCTTCAACTCAATATGGTCTTCCTTCAGTTTAAACTAGAATTTAACACTAGATACTTAAACCAAATATAAATATGTGAAGAAAATAAATTATACGATTTTTTAAATAAATCGCTTTTATAGCTGTTTCCTAAAAGATTCCAAATTTTAATTAACCACTACTCTCGTAATCCAACAAACTACATTGCACATAATACATTGTGATATTGCATACTATCTATAACCTTTTAAAATACTAGGGAATTAATGTCTCTCACTGGACATAAACAATCCATGATTTGGAATGAAAAACTGTGTGTATGGAGAAAGCATAAAGATAATTTTATTATTTTTTCTAGTTTTATCAAATTTTCGTGACTTCTTATAATTTCTTTCTTAAACAATCTAGTGTGACACTGATTTATTTATACTATTTCTTGAGGGACCAAGTGGTTAGCTATGTTTTTTCCTAAGTTAGAATTTGCACCTGGTAGATGATGGTCTCAAACTGAAGTGCATTAATGGTTATCTGACATGAGGCTATGTCTTTATTTTAATATCTATGTATTTATAGATATTGAGATTAGATTGTGTACAACTCTCGAGTGCGTGAATTTCCAGGGGTTCCCAAAAGAGGATTTTGAGATGCCTGCTCCTGCTATGATACACCTTGCGATTTTGGTCCGTCTGTGTGCTAATCGATTTTACATTCGTAAACAGAGAGAGGAGAGAGAGAGAGAGAGAGAGAGTCTTCTATTTCCATTACTTTACCATATAAGTAATCCGAAAGTTCTGCTAACTTTCGGATATCTTTTCGTGCTGCTTTTTGCAACCATTGCTCGTTTTATGATGTTTTTCCAGTCAAGTTTTAATACTACCAGAAATTCTAATTACGTTGAGAATTGGGTGTGGTTAATCCGAAAAAACTTCTGTCTGCCTAAACAATATTTTCAGTACAAACTACATACACTAGTTAAATTGTACCTAGAGTAGCGATTAAGACTTGAACCCTTGGCCAAAACGTGCAGGTTTGATATATCATAATGACAAACTTCTTAATAGCCATTACAGAACAAAACATATGTAAAACTTCTAGCATCCATCCGAACAATCCCTGGAACAATCCTTCCAAACTAAAGTCCTCCTCCCCCCTAGGTATCGCTAAACCCCGATATCATAAAGTTCATGCCCAATTATTTTTTCAGCCTAATCCTTCAGTACAGAATCTAGCCCAGATGTAGATGTAGATGTAAGTACTGCGGGTAGTGATACTGCGCCTTTCTACGCTATCGTATATCTTGCTCATACCGGAAAACGGCGGGGAATCTTAATTTATCAAGGAATTCGAATATTAGGTTCAATTTTAGTGGTTGTATTTTGTCCACTATTCCACTGTACGCCCCAAAGAGAGAGAAAGAGAGAGAGAGAGAGAGAGAGAGAGAGAGAGAGAGAGAGAGAGAGAGAGAGAGTTCCTGAGAAGTGTGGCTTCTCAATCTGTTGGTAGGGTTTCCTTTACCTCCTTACAAAATCTACATACGGGTGTTAATTGACACCAACATTTGTCAAAAGGTTAATATGTCAAGAAAGGTTTTTAGGATAGGGGTCTTTTCCTGCTGCCAATGATGCATTCTCGCAAGTTGGTGATTATTTATGTCCAGTGAGAGATTCGTACTGCTTTTTCACCATAACCTTGTTTTCCTAAGATGATCGTTGATAGTATGGACATCGCCAAAGGGTTCGAGTCTTGTTTGTAGTGGTTTAGCTTCACCTTCTTACCAAATGGTACTAAAGGATAAAATTATCCTACCTATAAATCTTTCCAGACGACTAAAGCGGCAGTAGTACTGTCAACAGTTGTTTAGCTAACGACAGTATCCCCGCGATGAATAGATGACTATCGTCTGATACTAGTCTAGCCCACCAATGTGCGACCGTAGTTCAAGCTGTTCACAGTAGGTTTAAGCGTGCAATGTCAAAGAAATATTAATTATTAGACAATATTTTCATTAAGAATTTACTTAATTATATGGACACATTTAAAAAGAAGGGAGGCCATAAGTAGTGGCTGGTACGGGAGGAGGTGGTGCCGGTAAGACCGGTGGAGGTGGCGGAGGTGCTGGAACCACTACTGGTGGCGCATAAACATAAGAACCCTCAGGTGGCTCATAAACGTTGACGGGTGAAGGCGAGAAGACTGGAGCCGGGTATTCCACGCTGGGGACTTCTACGTTCACTTGCTCGGGGACCGCTGGAGGTGGAGGCGGTGGAGGAGGTGGTGGCGGCGGTGGAGGCGGAGCAGGAGCCGCGACAGGCTCAACTTCTAGAGCTGGGTACGGCTGGCTTGGGGTTGGAAGTTCCGGTGATAATTCCGGCACTGCCTCTGGATACTGGGGCTTACAGCTACATATCGCCAAAGTGGCGAATAATACAACCTGAAAAATGTTAATTTGGTCATTAGTCTTCAAATTTTTCACACACGGGATTTTACATAAAATATTTATTATCCGCAAAAGCTTAAATTAACCCGAATATTGATTTTTAACTTGATCGTCCTAGATTCCCTTGCCAGTGTTCAGGTGATGATTATCCATCGTTAGTTAAGTCTTCGGTTTAATCCGTGCATCAGTCCTGTTAGCAGGTTCTTTAAAAGTCAGATCAATTCTTATCGGTATATAAATCTCGAATTTTTAACAAAGAGGGTAACAGAAATGGTGAAAGTGGGTTAATATGTAGATTCACTTCTTGTAAATGATAGTTCTTGGTGATTGTAAATGAAATTTGAAATAAAAAAATGTAAAATTAAACATGGAGATAAATGCATAAATAATATAATAGATTTTGATTTACCTCCTATTTTAAACATGCGCCTAAATAACGTTTGATATACAAGTAATCACTAATTTAAAATTATTTTCCTACAGTATTTATTAGGACTACATTTAATTGTACTGTAATTCACGGTTTTCGCACGTTCAAAATTGAGCGGCATTAAAAACCAGCTTCTCACCGGGAGGGACATATTAGTAACTCCTTCAACCTGCTGATGAGCGTTTAAAGCTTGAAATCTGGTTGTGTGGAACCATATTTACAAAAAGTGCACAGAGTAATTATCAAAAAATTTATTTGACCCTAACTGACACCAATGAAATTGAAATTGGTACTTCTGCAAGTTTACTGTTACAGACCATCTTGGTCTGTAAATCTTGGCTTGGTTGTTCTGTCAAACGTGGTTCGGCATTTCGCCTTCTTAGGTGTGTCTGGGTGATGTTAAGTCAAGCCTCTTTTATAAGGATGTGGGGGGTTGGCTGCCTGTGTCGTGTTTTCTTCGTTTGTCGGTGCCTTTAGTGGATTAAACCTAGGTATTTTTATTGTTTGGCTCGTTCATCACCACTCAGATCTCAGACGACATTCTCACGATTGGTAGTTCTACTACCTTACAAATGAATTGTATGCAGTTTTTGAACAATTCTTGTCACAATGTTTTGTAAGATCTTGAGATCTGCGAGGTGATGAACCTATTTCCGGCCTATCATTTTGGTTTGCCTATCCTCGCTGATTTAGTCTGTCGCCATCTCGCGACAGATAGGTCAAAAAGGTTGGAATATCTACGGCCTAAGACAAGTTTTCCTAACACAAAACACTTGGCAAAAAGAGTAATAAATAAGCAAAAACTTGTAATAAAACTAATATACCAATGACTAATCAGGCTGAATTTTCTACGAAAAATTAAAGTAAATTAGTTCAAAAACAACGCTGAACTCACCAATGTCTTCATGCTGAGGATTTCTAGGTTGAATGATACCCTGACAGTTCTACCGCGTATATTTATACAGCAGGGAATGGTTGGACAAACACTATATCTATAGATCTACTTTCGCCTTATTTTCAATTAGGTAATCTCGCAAATGATCGGTCTATTATTGTTAACCATCATGAAGTGGTAGATGTACGATAAGGGTTTGAACAGAAGAAAACAATTCTCAAATTTCCACCACTTTCGTTAAGGCTATTTTGAAACTAAATCTTTACATTGGGGATGAGTCAATAAAAATGACCGTTTTCAATTTACATTACATCTTAAAATTTATTATAAGTTTGTATTCGATAATTGATCAATCATAATGGCTGCCGAGTACGAAATTATCGTTATATTGCACTATTATTAAAAAATTGGGTCCAATTTGAAGGGTAGGAAACTTGAAAGATCCAACTGAACGGAGGTGGTTAAACAGATTCAAAAAATGGTGACGTAGGCTTAAAAACGGGAAAATTCAGGTCAATTAAAGATTCAATTGAAGATTCAGGTCAGATTCAGGTGACAATTTTGGTCAGCCTGAAAGAAAAAGGGCTATGCGGACTATCTTGTAATTTAAAAATAAGATATTTTTCTCCCTTGCATTTGAAGGGTATTAACTTATTATACATCAGTCAATATTTTTCCTGCAGTATGAGAAAATAATATGAGGATCATATTAAATGAGATTAGATATATAAAGCGATACAAAAACAAAAGATGTTTCCAATAAAATAAGCCTAAAAAAGAAAGAATAGGCAAAAGAATGAACCATCAAAGGTGGCAGGTTTAAAAAGTTGTTGCTCAGTGGACAATAAGGAGGATGTGTGTAGGGCATTTAAAACATATATGAGCTTATGTAGTTTCATAATTGTTCAAGTAATGCAGACAATTAACGAAATATCATCAAAATGTCTAGCAGTTATTTCTGACATAACCGTAGGTCAGGTCAAAACACAACTGAAAAATCACATTCATCCAACCTGAGGTAAAAAGGGATTTATTATAGGTTATTTACAAATGGGCAAATATCCGTATTGGAAAAAATGCACGTAACGTATAGAAATGTGTATCTTGCTGGTAAAACTTAACTCATAATGAGGACATGTCCTAAACCTTGTATGGAGAAAAAATTTGGACATATCCCCCCTAACCAAATGGTAACAAGGATAGCCATGAAATCTATTCTTAACATTAACAAAGAAAAATCTCAAAAGCGATTATAACAATGGAAGGATGAGAACATAATGAGAGAATATCCAATACTCATAGCTCCTACGGACAACATGAACAGTATATTTGAATTTAAAATAAGTATCGATTAACATAAGCTCACTGAACATAATCTACAAACCTTCTCGTGAGATTTGGAAAGAAAGATTTGATAGAATGCCTCAAAGGAAGCAGGAAAACACTGTGAGCAACAGGATTCTTAACGGAACACTGCAGACTGAATGGTCACTAGAGGAAAATTGGTATCAATCAACACAGTTCATGTAGAATCCACGAAGAGGCAGAAGAGTTCACAATACACCTATTGACAGACAGGTGCTACACTTATGCACAAGAGGTTACTGCTATGTGACGTGTAGTGCATATAGTTCTAGTTATGTTATTTATATCTAAATTCCATTTCTGATTTTTAAATTGAACATTTATTGGAAATAGTTCAAAAGCTTTTTAAATGATGAAGCTTCTTTAAAAATTAAATTAAATTAATCATATTAATTCATTACATCCTCAGAAAGTCCTTCAAGGATCACATCTTGGTCCTATTCTCTTTATATTATTCATAAATGATATCAAGCTATTTTGAAGGTATTCAATTTCAGCAATTTGCATATGGCCTTAAATATATAAAATTATATCATGTATTAAGGAATTTCAATGTTCTTAGAAATCGGCTTCCTAATTGGCAATTGTAAATCCTTCAGCAACACTTCTTCTTCTTTTTTTTTTAAGTAAGGAATGTTATATATCTCATAAGCGTTAAATTTTTTTGAGAGAGGGGAAGGGTTGCATGAAAAAATGAACAATGGGCAATGGTGGGAATTGAACCCACGACCATGCAGTTTAGAGCTGAGACTCTGAGAGCCTACCACACAGACCACTTGGCTACCCCGGTCCCCTCACTGTCATGTCCACACTGGAGAATTTCAATTTTGCCTTGCAGTTGAAAAAAAAATCAATATTAAATTAAACCAAAAAAAATAAATTAATTAATTAATTAAAAAAATAAATAAACAACACTATTGTTTAGTGCTTTTTTAAAAAAATATTCATATGTTTGGTAAAATACACAAATTGAATAGGTTAAGAATTTCTCTTCTTCATTTGTTTACACCTGCATCAACTGTTGTACTTAAGTAAATTTGATAGCATTTTACAGTGAAAACAAAACAAAATTAATGCAAAAATATACATAAAACAGAAAAAAGAGGTCATTCACTGAGACTTAGGATGTCACGAGGACATTAGCGCTTCAGCCGTCAGGGAGAATTATTTGGAAGGATGTGGGATGAAAGGGGAGTGTCCATGAGGGTTTGGGTGACTGGATAATTGTTTGTTAAACTTCTTGCAGTGCTTTTTCACTACTCCAAAGACATATTGGATATTAAGATCATTGTGAATTGTAAGATTGGACACAAAAAGGAACATTGAAGAAGGTTTGAAGGATTTTTGATTGTAAGGATTGAATACATTAGAGTTTAGAACGTTTTGTTGAACCTCAAAGTTCGATGACCAAATGGATCTCAAAATAGTTATATAAATGAGTGGTTTATTTTGTAAAGTCAGTTTTGATCATTTATCTGGTAATCGTTTAAGTCTGAATTGTCTTTTAGCTCTTGTCTTTTGAGTCACGTGTGAGGGTTCCATGTAAGTCTTTTATCAGTGTATAGCCCAGCAGACTACATTACCTGGTGAAAAAGAAAATTTAGAATAAAATAATGGTAATTTCATGAAACTCACTGCCATCTGCATATCTGAGGATTTCAATTTTGCTTTGTTGTTGAATAAAATTAATACTAAATATTTCTGATATTGTTTAGCGATTTTCTTGTAAATGACGTGTCAAAATACATAAATCGATAAACAAAACTGACATACCGTTTTGCAAAGTTGATAAACAAAAAAAATGGTAATTGTATAAAACTCACTGCCATCTTCATATCTGAACATTTCAGTTTTGCCTTATAGTTGAAAAAAGAAATCAACAACATTTTTGTATTTTTTTATACATTATTTAGTGTTTATCTTTTAAATATTTATGTTTTTGGATACTTGTCATCTAAAATCATTTGCTATTTTTGGAAGTTGATAAATCTTTCTAAGGACCTGGAGAAAAGGAATAGTTCAAAAGTATCCGCTAGAATGCGCTTTATTCTTTAAAAAGTACCTCTACTAAAATGTAATGTTATATTTTTATTTCTTGCTAGATGAAGGTCGACTATTTTAAAATTATACGTTCAGCCGATTGCTTTTTTTCAAATTTATTTATTTAACGACAGATAGTTTATAACGATGCTTTATTTTTGTTTCACAGGTAAGATTTATTTTATTTTATGCAAATCTGTTTAGAATGACAGTTTTTTACTTCCGCTCCGGCACGTATCGCTTGTTCCGTCTGGTTTTTGAAACGGATAAGAGCCCATGGCCAGGGGATTTTCCAACGCCCTCGGCGTGTCGATTTTTTCTCGTAATTTTTCGTTTCCTTCATAAACATTTCTGATTGAAACGTAAATCGTGAGAATTGCGTTACAAACGCGGCGGCTTGGCGTAGCGGGGGGTGGGTGGGCCGGTGTTCGTCGGGGAGGGGAAGTGTCGAAAACTCGAAATGACGTCAGGGCCGGCCGCCCGGCGAAGCGGGATCAGCTGAGAGTGTAAACAGGGCCGTTTGGAGGGGAGATCCGCCGGGGAGGGGATCGCCGGGAATGGAGGGGATAACTAGGTCGGCCAATCGGAGGGCCGAGTTAAGGTCACGTGCCCTTGTTGTTATTCGATCAGCTGTCACGGAGCCGGCATTCCAGTTCTATTCTGATGCTTGTCATGTTCGGTACGAATTCGCGCGCAAGTAAAATCTTGTACTCCCTCCTCGGTTCAGTCTCTTAATCGCGTTGAAAAGAAAAGTGTCCCACTGTGTCGGTCGACGGGTTCATAAAGGAAAAATGTCGACGGGGAAACGTTTGGCAAAAAGGTCCATAATAGGGACGAGGGTGTGCGTCAAAGCGGAAGACGGCATCTATTACTCGGGAGTGATAAACGCAGTGAAAACGCCCGGTTCGAGCCACTCGGCGGAGACCAAGTATTCGGTCAGGTTCGACCCCGTCGCCGAGTTGCCGGCCCTGAAAAAAGAGTTCAAGGATTCCGAGCTGATCGGACCCGGCTTCCGGACCATGACCGGCGTCCGGCTCCTCTCGGGTCAGAAGGTCTACATCACCTACAACGGACGAGAAGTCTCCGGACACGTGACGGAGCATAGCAGCGTCGCAGACGAAGTGGCCGTCGTCATCGCTCCTCCCGGTACCGAGGTAATGACAGATCTCTGACAAGAGTCGAGGAGTAACTCGGTCGTCGGCCGGCGGAAAATCCTGCGAGCTCCTCACTCGTCTTTTCGAGAGGGCTGATCGCTAAAATTAGAAATCCGACCGTAAGACGCTTCCTAGTTACTTTCCTTACTTTCTATTTTAGAGCCCGACTCTACGATTCAAGATGGTGAACGGGACCTCCACCGCATGGCAACAGGCCTCTGGGCATTTTCGAAGCCGGTTTTCTCGTTTTTCTCATCTTCTCCACCTCATTCGTTTCCTACGACGATAAAATCCGCGACGCACTAAACCTGTTGATAATCCTTCTTGCACTCCTGTGAAGTAGACCGACCGGCATTTTTATCAGAAAATTTAAACGTTTCCATAATGTTTTTCCCCAAAATAATTATAAAAATTGGCCAATTAAGTCGTCTTAAATTTAAATGACGTAATACAACAGTCGCGATCTTTGAAACGCAAGCCGGCACGTCGCCGGTTCGAATAGACAAGGCCGATGCGTCCTTTACGATTCTCGATGACAGAACGTTTCCCAGATTCGATTATTGACTTCCGTAATGAAGAAAAATGTATAATCTCAACGAAAACGTCCCATCAATTTTTGAAAGTTGAGTTTATTAAAAGTTATTTGGCAGGTCCTAAGACCCAAGCCATTTTTACCGGAGGGACTCGGCAGGCCTGCCAACTTCGCCCGGTTTTTCTACGCAGAGGAGAGAAAGTCGTTGCGGCCGCTCTTCCCGAATGCGCATTACTCATAGAATTCTGTTTATTTTAAAACCCCGACGCACGAGGTCTTTTTATCTTTAAATGTTTTCCCCCTTTTAACATTTGGAAATAACGTCAGTGACTGTCGGTCCATCGTTTGCAACGGATGACCATCATCAGTGACCACTACTGCTTGACCCTTTTTTTCTTAAAAGAAGCAAGTATATGAAACTATCAGTTTTACATCCAAACCTGTATGTTTATAATAATAACAATAATTTAATTGCGCGTGTAGATTGTAAATAGCGACCTATCGGCGACGCCGGCCGGTTTATTCAAGGATCATGGCCCCTTGTTTGAATTTAGAATTCGCACGGTTTGACGTTTAAAACAGACGATTTGCACAATCATTAATTTCAATTAAAGAATTTATTGACATTGTGCCCGTGGATTTTATCCTTTAAATTAGCCTGTATGTAATCTGCACTATTTCATGCAATCTTTGAAAGACGTCATCGCCGGTTGACTTCGCCGACACTTAGTTGTCCAGGGATTTTCTCTAATAATTGACAAAAAAAAAACTTTGACTTAAAAAGTCTTTAGGGGATTTTCCAGCGTTTTACGGCCAGGATTTCCAGCCAGAGGCCCCCCCCCCCATAGGTCGGCCCGTCACAAAACTACCTAAAAGCCCAACCTGGTACAAGGAAGAAATTTGTTTTATGATCTATAACCTTTAAAATATTCATTTTTGCATGTTTTTGCCATATATTATAATGAATATATGTAATATATTTGTATTATTATGTCTTTCACATTTTTCTTTTAGCAAATACCCTTAAGTAATTAAATAATACATTTTATTTCAAATTTTTCATTAACAAACTATCCCAGAATGTACAGAATACAGACAGATTTAAACAATTCCCAGTCTTTTTTATTAGCTTTTCTGTTAATTTAATATTATATAACATTATTAGCATGGAATCTCAGTTGCTTCGGTAAATTTGGTACTGTAAGAGGTCAAGGTTCTTTCTCTCTTTCGTAAATGAGGGCAGGAAAAGTTGCCAGATGTTTCGTTTCGTGAATCCAATAATAATTCCTGGAAAATTCAATTTAAACGAGAAATATTTTCAAAACAAGCTGAAAATATTTTGATGCCCTACTTAAAGTAGTCTTTGGTTTCAGTATGCAGGATGAATGAGTTTTTGAATTAACGTTGTAAATTGTTCAAGTTTAAGCTCAATATCGACTTATTTGAGTCCGTCATATATCGCCTCTGTAATTGTTGAGGTTTTATTATTATTTTTTAATGTATTTCAACTATGAGGTTTATGAAGCCTCGAGGTACTGTAGTTTTTGAATTATGCGCGGCTAGGATATGCCGGATATTTCAACTGATATTTCGTACACAAATAAGGTTTCTTTTGTAACATTTTTTTAAAATTTGCATAAAAATAATACTTTCTGGCTATCAAGTTGAATATTTAATTGGTTATTACTTCACGATTAACGATGTGGAGTGCGATAATTAAAAAAACCCAGGCTCATGAATTTCACAATCAGTTTGGTACTAACTGGGCATGTCTAATCGAGCTTATGTTGCAATATTTTAACAGCAACATTAAAAAAATTGTTTTCTAACTCATTAAAGATTAAAAATAAACGTGAAAAATTTAACGTGGTTTACTTGATAAAATCTACTGGGTCGGCTGTTTAACAAAAAACAAAAAAAAAAAGAAGAGTTTATTGTCGGGTAATAAAAATGAAGACGAGAAAGTGGAAAAAGGAGCATGGAAGATTTTGAACTGGATAGTTTCATGACGAGAAAGCCGAAGGCTTGTTGAATCTGTCGCCCCTCCCTGGCAGGGATCTGCGCTGCCCCGTGTTGCTTTCACCAAGCAACGGCTGCGCGTTGCTGCTCTGAGGACAAGGACAAAGCAATGACGTGAAAAAATATCCACAGCTGTAATACCAGTTACGTCACCTTCATCCCCATTAATAGAATTAAAATTGCCGGAGAAGCCGGCCGGCGGAATCGTTCGCCGGTGGAAAAACCGCGTTTCTGGGAACTGGAGACGCCGCGAAACGGTGGGTTACCACATTGGTTGGAAAACAATTGCCACCGTTACATGAGGTGGATCGTCCTGGGCTAAAGGTTATGTCGTCATTTCCATTACACATAGAACATTTAGCCTTCATTTGGTTAAGCAAATATAACCGCAAAGTTGCAGTATCCTTGATTTTCATATCTCAACAAATTCTACTGATCGTGATAACAAATTCGCATTTTCGTGTTCATTTATCACTTGGGCGAAACTCATTCATTATTGACATTTACTAAGATGAATAGATGAGGATTGACCTCAAAATGGAAAAATCCGTCCTTTTGGGTTATGAGGATGGCCAGCGTTTTACGCAAATCACGAATTTTCAACCTGTGTTATTTTTTATTGGGTAACAATCCCCTCTCTGCATATAAATACATCGTTCCATACATATTTTAATGTATAAGAGAACAATTTTTATGGGCAACAAAACGTAGTAATACATTGACTGTAACCCCAATCCACGAGACTATTGTATAGGTCGATCACATAGAAGATACTATTAAAACTTAGTAATACCTCTAACATCAAGAACAGTCGGTACTAGAAAAATCTTCATAGTTTTTGCTGATTACTAGAAGTTTTTTAAATCTGAGAAATTCAGTGGTCCAACGGGTTTTTGAAATTTGATTAAAGCGAACGTGTAATCCTTGAAGTTTCAGCTCCGGTAATTTTTTGATTTCTAGCATAAACAAAATTCTGTATTTAAGCAAATAATGGTACTATAAAAGCACTATTATTATTTTACAGTAACAAACAAAACAGCATTTATAAAAAAATATTTGAGATTTCTTCCTGAAGGTCTTGGGTGTTTGTTTTGAACCTGTGCCTCTCCATGTTTAAATCCCTGACAACCAGTGGAGAAACGCCTGGCGTTGAACTGACAACCAAACCAAGAAACTCAAAAATTGGTTGATGGCAGGTCTACTTTCTTTATTAATTTTCTGACTAATAGGATCTTTTAGATAGAGCTATTATAGAATATAGGTTTCAAAGATTTCCTTGATAATTTCATCTAGTAATAAAAATGATTTTGGGCACGAATTCCAACGATATAAATTCATATAACATGTAAAGAATGTACTATTGGATTTTTTGGTAAAAATGTTTCTAAAATTTAATTAACCAGCAAAAAATCCGATCTTTATTGCTGTCCAAGATCTTTCCTGCTCTACGACTTCTCTCTTTATGTATAGTCATAAATAGTCAAGAAATAATTTTTTTTTGGAGATGTGGACCAACATTTTTATTCTTGAATAAAGTGTGAATATTTATTAATAAGAAAAGTGTTATTTGGGCCATTTGTCTTATATTATTTTAAGTATCCAGTTTGTTTAGAGGTTGTTCTTTTATTTATTAAGTGTAGTTATGTCTTAGCACAAAATAAAAAATTCAGTGATAGTCTGAAGTGAACTAGAACGAATTAAACAATAAGTTTTTTTCTTAACGAAGATAAACGATTATAAATATGTATTTGGTAGATCTCAAGTGGTCTTTTTCCTCTGTCATGATGGTCATTGCCATGTCGTGCAAAAAACTTATTCCATATTGGCTACAGGTGTATATAGATCTTACTTTGGACAGCACAACTTGATTAGTTTTATTGGTACCATGAGCTTTCTTCCTGTTTCTAGGGATAAAAAAAATCGTTGAAAGCACTGGAAATCGAAGAAAAATAAATTGAATGTTAATTCTTTTTCCGTTATTCAATTCCTACACGAATTTATGAAAATTTATTCTTAGGCTGTATGTCCCTGAGTTTCGCTAATGAACCGTTATATATTTGTATTAATTGATTAACTTCAAGGTTGTTTTTTTCCGGACAACAATAGGACCGAAACTATGTCCAAAGGAATCCTGATAGAAAAGAACCTATTTGTACTTTAAAAAAGTGTAATCTCCGATCAAATGGCAATGGACAAAACCTTGCAAAAAATTCCAGTTGTTTGCATGCAAGTGATTAATCAAAGCATAGATCTTCTGCAGCCTGAATTAAAAATGTACTCGTTGAGTGTTAAAACGGCCTTGGGTGTTATAAAGGATTGCACTTTAGTACGTTTTTCCTTCTGGAATTTCCTCTTGGTGGGTACATCGATTTTAATATGTATTGAATTGAGTCTGATTCTGAGCGAAAGCAGGTGGATATCACACATTTGATCGCAGTTGGTCTTTAAG